AAATTCATAAAGTACCTTGCTGTTAGATGTTATCTTCGGCAAACTTGAATAACGACAAGCTCACCTTCCAATGTAACCTGGTTGGTGGTCCGGTTGCATCTTTCAATTTTCTTTCACTCAAGCTTCTGATCATTCTTCCACCGAGGCCTAACTCATCTTCGCCTCGTCCTTCGTCTTCAGGTATGACACCTGTACCTTCCCACATACTCTGAAGTCTATCCTTCATTATCGCACTCCATGATCGCTTCATTCCATTTGCTCCGGTACTTGTATCCTCCAACTCCAGGGAACCAGCTCTTCCGTCGGTCGATGCCCCGATCAGTTCATCGGTAGAGAGATTTCGAAGTAGGTACGGATAGGTAGAGAGAGGGGGTGGGTTAAGCAAATCTGTGGTGGAGCTAGACGGCGGTTGCGACGGGGATGTATTGGCACTGATTGATGCTGGCAGGTTTGGATTCGAACCCATCGTTGGGTGTTTTGAGCGCTTCGGCCGAGTCGCCTCGTATATATCTTGCATAGTTCTTTATGTTTTATATGTCTACTTATATCTGCAATATGATACTTCGAAATGACTTTCGGGTTATCTCTATCAGTATGAAGAGAGCCATAGCAACTGATCACGTGCAGCTGCAAACAACGAAATCCTCTATAAAAATCGCGGCGGACGCTTCGTGCTCGTTGTACCATGGCCTCATTTTAGACTAGTCCCGTTATCTCAATTTTGTCGTTGATGATGGGGATTCCCGGGGCCCAGAATGACGTTCTTATTTAGAGCCCCTTCGTTTCCATTTTTGTTTGCTTTGCTTTACTTTACTGTAAATCATAGTAAGCGAAAATTATAGACGACGGGGTGTCAGACGAGAACTAAATGCTTTGAATACAATGAGATAATATCTTGCTTTTTTTTATATGCTGCAGCCGCCAAAAGAAAGTTCCTTTGAAAATTCAAATGAAATTTTCTCCCACCTAAACTCCATGTGCAAAAGATGTGTCCAAATCGATGTTTGAAATAAAATGTTCAAAACAAAGATGCATAGACTATCGATGTCTACCTCTTGAGGTATAACAATAACATCGGAATCATTTGGAATGTAACGTTGCGTCGATGTATTAATTGGCGGTGGCTGGTTGGAGTAGTCTGCTGCGATGAGGTGCGTGGAATGAAAGAACGACATAATACATGATGCTGCACTCCTCCCAAAGTCATTGCCATTAAGCAGAAACCATACTACCTGCAATCGCTCATAGTATATTCTTTTATTCTGCACCTATATCCACAAAAAGAGCAGTAAGTCGTAAATTAAATTTCAACCAAGCAGGACGCTGTTACTATTTTTGGCGGCAATTATTCTCCCCGTTCCCCGTTCATCGTCCGCCGCATTTTTCGCTCATTCGGTATTTCGGTCTTTTATATCTACAGAAATACAAGATTCTATCCAAGAAGTCGCTACATATAATCGCATAGACTAGTAATACGCTTTCAGTATTTATTTTCCGCTAAAATCGCTCCTCGCTATCCACCCCCTCCTTCGTTCATCAGCACATCTCCTCGCTTGCATGACTCCCCTTCAGCGTTGTCAGCTTTTAGCGGCATTCCTTCTTCTCTGCACTCAATTTGCGACACATTTGTTTGTGGAAGCTGACGTACTATCGACAACGAATGTGCAGACTCCGGTTTTAAGGTGGGAAAGAGTCGACATCCCTCCCAACGCCCCAAAACCGAGTCCAAGGAAAGATTTCGTATTTGTCTTCGATGAACAGAAACAGAGTGGTGTTTTGTTCGGAGGACGGTAGTTATTGTTTTTACTTTCTTTCTGTTCTTGAGATCTCAAATGTATAGTTCGGGATAGATTAGAAATCCGCTGTCGGGGGCTTTGTAATTGAGTCGCAATGTGCAGTCTTATCATATTGACTTCATGTTCAGCAATTTGTTCTAACTGATAAAAATCTTCATCTCTTTACAGAACATCGGACGGTAATGTACTTGATGATACATGGATTCTGGATATTCAGGGCCGCCGATGGACTCAAATCGACAAACCCATTCGACCGCCAGCCCGGTTTGGAGCAGTTGCTGCAGCTGACCAGCCTGATACATCCAACCGGCGTTCAATTGTAATATTCGGAGGTAAAGGTCCCAATGGAGAAATATACAACGATGTTTGGGGATTCGATACCACGGACTCTTTATGGTATCCGACCAAACCCAAAGGGCAATCTCCTCCACCAATGTATGGCGCAATCGGTGGTATCGCACCTCGTGCTCCAGGTCAAGAAGAAAAATTGCGACTGCTGGCGACGTACGGCAGTGATGATAAAAACTTATTTACGGATACATGGGTTCTAACGCTGACAGGGCAGGCTATCAACTATACAACTGTCGATGCTGAGTGGACAAAGATATCGACTTCAGAGGCTAGACCGACAGCTCGTACATCATTTGGAGGCACTGTTCTGCCAGGCGACAGAGTACTCTTATACGGTGGTTGTGTCAAAGGAGGTTGGGGAAACTGTCCGAATAATGAAGCTTGGGTCCTTAGCCCGAATGGCGTCTCTTTAACAACCGAAGGTGGTTGGAAGAGATTAGATTCATGTCCTAGACCTAGATTAAATGCCGCTATTACTCACAGACCAGACTACAATACTGGTAAACCCCGGGCACAAGCCTTTATGTTTGGAGGCTTCTACAGCCGTGGTTCGGGGAATCCTGGAGAGGTCTCTTTTATTGACGCAGACCTGGTATGTACTTGATGATCCTGCCATTTTCAAACCGGATTTCGATTGCCTTCCCTAACAATGTGTAAACTTTATTATAAATAGGGAGCATGGACCAATATACTTCCTATTTCCAACGATAACCAATATCCAGAACAACGATCAGGGGCTGGATTTATCTCCAAAACCCGTGACAACCTAGCTATTCTCTTCGGTGGTGAATCTGCATCTGGGCCTCTGAACGATCTTTGGTTTCTTTATGTATATGCCGATAAATCCTCCTCCCCTAATAACGTTGACAACAAAGAGATCATCGCATGCTATGTTCCGTCGGATTTACGAGTTACCCACGGAGCACTGATGGTGACTGGACTCGGAGTATTACTTCCGTTATCTATTTTTATTGCTCGCTATGCCAAACCCAAGAAGTCTCGTAAAAATTCATCTAATCCGTCGAATCAGCCACCAGTCTCTAATTTTAGATCAAAACTATGGCTCTATCTCCACTCGCTCACGAGCGTACTTTCTGTGGTCTTCACCATCGCCGGAATAATAATAGCCTACCAAATGCAGGACCTGACACATTTGAACACACCTCACTCATACATTGGTGTCTTCATCTCGTTATTATTTGCCGTTATCATTGTCACTTCCTTCTTCATGCCTCGATCTTCAATATCATCAGAACAAGCGCCATCAAATACGCAAGACCCATCGGCAACTATCAAGTCGACACTTCGTCAATTCAAAGACGCAACTCGCCGTGCTAAAAATCGAGTGATTTCCGGTTCCGGAAAAAATGGTGTTAAAAAATCAAGTAAAATAACGTTCGTGACAATTTGGAAATCAACCCACATCATAATGGGTCTGGTGCTTTTCTATGCTACTATTCTGAACATTATCTTGGGATTGGTCCTGCTAAACCCTGCTTTCACGTATTACTTGATATATATTATTTTCCTTCTAACTTTATTCGTTATTTACGTTGTTTTAACTGTTCTGGGGAGACCAAGCAAGAAGAATTGGTCTGTGAAAATGTTCAATAGACTGTTTCGTGGTAAACAAAGTAGAAGGCGACGAAGAAGCTCTGCCGTCGGATTACACGCGCGGGCAGGCAGCTCTGGGGAAGGTGCGAATGGCGTTGGTGGAAGTGCAAGTGGAGTTTTGAACGGGGACGTTATTATGGAGGAAGACGAAACCGAGGATAGTGATGATAGTGAATATGATGATGGGGATGAAGTTAACGTTGGTGAAGGAGAAGCAGAGGAAGAATTAAGTAAGAGGGAGGTGGTGATTATGACAATTCCCAAGTATGTCACTTCGGCACTTCTTCTATATCTCTATGGAGTTCTGACTGATTTGCCACATTCATTAATTAGGCGAAGGTTAACGGTCGTGAATGCATAATCCTGTCCCCCTTCTACACCGCCATATTACGTATCCTCTTATTCAATCAATTTTACGCCTATCAATCTATCACTGTCACTTAATGCGCAAATAATTATTTAGAATCATTCTTTTATCCCTCAATATATTCCCTGTCACTTGGTTTCCATCTATATTGCTTGCAAATGCTCATCATTGCTCTTCTTGAACCGAAAAATCTACTTATCAATCTTCACGCTTCGGGATTGAACCCCGCCAATCCGACGTGATAAGAACATTATTTTCTGTGTATCGTATTGACTCTTGATATCATGGTGTTTAAAGTCTGGTCGCTTATAGTTCAGGATGTTACTTTTCAACGTGAAGGTCATAGGAGGAATTCCTTTTGCTAAAACTATGGAAATACTTTTGTACGATTAGTTTATTGTTGTGCTTAAATTCAATCGCTGAATAACAAAATACGAGGAACGACCTGACGCTGAGATTAGAAATCAATCTTGTCATTACAAAACTATATTATGACACGACGTCTCTGAGACTGCACTTCGGTAACATTCTATAAAGTTGTCGCACACAAGGATTAACTTTTGTTTGTACAAATTCGAGCCATGTTTATTGTGTCGGTGATTTTCAATGGCTTATATGTCAGACAGCCCTTATAACGATATGGTGTCATTATTCGTAAATTGCAACTCCGCGTCCTGTTCTACCGAATTCATTTTACATCGAGCAATTTCATTGAATTCTCCCATATCAGGTCTAATTGACTCCCTATAAACATAATAGACAATTATACGGACATCAACAGAAGCATTCTAATCTGTTTTGACACTCGAGTACTTCAACTGCCAGATAGAATCGTTGTCGTCAATTCCAGATTTTACCGCTACATTAATATATCTCGAGTAGTATAGTGGTGAGTATCCCCGCCTGTCATAACCATATATGATCGCGGGAGACCGGGGTTCAATTCCCCGCTCGAGAGTATAGTATATTTAATACTGGAATCGATGTTATCTTTTTAATTAAGTGATCGATTTTTGGCGCGGTTAACTGTGGGCCTCACCACACGCATCTTTCGGCATAGTGCGATTGCTACAGTTCGACGTGATAAATGCACTCCATAATTTCACAAAGTATACACATGTCACTTCAAATTCTTTTAAGTATGGTGGCGGCAATAATGATCTCGTGGTGCAATTCTTTAATTCAATGCTGCATATTCAACTCTTTTCGTACCAATATAAAACAATGTTGGCTGACGTTCAATGATCACGAACTCTGGTCTTGATTGACTCATATATTTGCAATGCTCGGTGTGTAAATCTTTTTTTTTTTTTTTGTTGATGGCTGCAAAATAAAAGTCCGATTAGAGAATGGCTGGCATGTCACGTTTCGTACAGGAATTAAGAGCGTGAAATTCTCAGAAAGCTTATCGAGCACCATACATGCGGAGCTGTGTGCAAGTATTTTAAGCTTGATCATCAAGAGAATGCAACTGAAAATTGATATAATTGTAAGGTCAAACTTCGGCATTATATGAATTTTGACAATATTCATTATATATATATATAATATGACTCGTATGAAATATAATTATCATTCTTATAGTGATACTTGCTCCACACTGCCATTGCAATCATCTGTTTCAGATTCACTGGATGTCTCTTCATCTTCATCAGGTACCCATCCAATCATATCATCTATAGAGTCAATTCCAGCAACGTAATTTAACAGTTGTTCGTACACCACCCACGCCTCACTCAATAGAAGTGTGGGGAGTCTTGTTTCGGGGAAATTAACCCGCATGAAGTCATCACAAAGCCTCTTAAACCTCGGTGAGTGAACACGGAACAAAGTGATTTCATCATATATTTGAATTAAACTCTCAATAACATGCGGAGGGACAGGTATCTTCATGTCTTCTCCACTGAAGGACTCGGGAAAATCATAAGCGTAACTTGGACTGCAACCACTAGGCAGTGCTGAGCGACGATCTTTGCGTTTGTATCTAACGATGAAGTAGAAATAGTAAGCTCTAACAGAGAAGTATATGTCAAGGGAATCAGCCACTTACCTATGATTTAATAATTCCTTGGCATCATCCAGTCGCTTCTGCACATTTGGCAGAAATACATACAAGAATACTTGTCTACAATATCTGATTAAGGAGAAAAAGTGAAATAGCTTACCTTTGGAGGGGATCAGAAGGTGAATAGATGCCAAGCTCTACTTTAGCGCTGAAGTCATCAATCAATGGCTGTAATGTATGGTGTAGTAATTGAATCCAACTGTCTCCGATTGCTTGATTTCGGATGCTTTCGACAAAACGGTGAGGCTTCATCTCCTTTACAAATGCTTCTACTTCTTTTTCATCTTCATTCTTATTATATAAGCCATGGGCGTACGTCCAAAGTATTCTCTGATATACGGCTGCCAAAGTGTTCTCCGTGCCGCAATCGGACATAGTCATTTGCGGGATGGCTGTTTAATAATTTAAATTAGTCAAAGAGTCAGTTGAAGTCATTCAATTCAGGCCAACGAATAGGCATCCATACCGCCGCGGGATTTTACCCAACGAAGATAGTACAGAGCGACATGTTCCGGTCTTTTGTTGGTCGAGAAGCACATCAGCCAGTTGATATTTTTGGAAAACACATCGATTCCTTGATGTATACCTGTGTCGTTGTTTTTTAGCCTTTTTCGTACAAATAAAAATAGCGTTCCAGAAAATCATACCGATACCAAACTTTAGCAATTTATCATATCCATCGTAGATGCAACAATCATCACTTCCAAGTGAGAATACTGCGTGACTTCTGGGTCTATTCTTTCGCCGGTTCTGCAAAAGTGACTACGTTAAAAGAGCTGAGACTTTTGTTTCATTAATTATACATATCGCCTACCTTCATCCCCAGTGAATCGATCTCCTTCATCAACCTTGCGATGTCATCCCTAACCAGGGGTTTAGAACTTGAAAGTTGACATTGTCCGAGAAGAAATTGTAATGGAAGTTTTACCTCTTAACGTATACTTTGTGCTTCAAAATAATTTGATCGTATATCGCTCGATAACCTCGATTTTGGGACCCATCAACGATTTCTTCTTTTATCCAATTCTTTATAGTTTCATCGTCCAACTGATCTCGCCGTCTGAGTCCCCACGACTGTAACCTTCTCTCCAATGTCCGCTTACTACAGCAACGTATTTGAGTATTGAGATATGTACGAATCAACCACTAACAAACGTAATCTTTACCTAATATATATATTCTCGTGCTTCTTAAGATATGCAACGACCTGATCGTAGGACAAGTGTCCCCGATAGAAATACTTCAAAATTATTGGCTTCAGGATTTCATCGGGAGCTTTAAGTACAAGACATTAGGAATTTTTGAAACCTAAGAAACAATAATTGGGAATTTTAGATACAAACGGACAGGAGGATGCTGATTAGTGCGCAGCTTCTTCGGCGATCGCAAAGCTTCCTTTTCAATAGCTTCGTCCTCATAACCATAAATACTTTCTTCATCGGATGTGTCAGACATTGTTCAAAGTATAGATATTATCTGCTATGTTGTTTGGATGTGGAATGTGGGAAAAGATGTGTTGATAAAGGTTATTCATGCCGTCGGCGCAAGTTGGCGAGCAACCAAAACGCGAGAACGAAACAATATAAGCTGGCGGTTTCAATTTTCTCAAATATATGACACTTTGATGGTTAAGCGGGCACATTTGGTTTGCCATTTATGTTTAATAGTTTGATGCAAATAAATGCGATGGTTGGTCTTGTGTCAGCAGGCAATCCTGTGATAGATTATTGAATGGTTGTTTTTAGGTAGGGAAAGGACAAAGAATTAAATTAAGACTCAATTTATACAAAGATATCTCACAAGCAAAAGCCAAAAAAAGATTAATCAAAGTGAAAGCCGGTTCACTTGATCATTCAGATTTACGCCATTTATATAATAAATTAGAAATTCTGTATGAAAGTTTATACTACATGATACATTCCCGCCGCTTGATTAACTGCCGAATTGACAGCAGACAAATTATTGTTAATATAGTCTTCTAAAGTTGCCTGATGGGTAGCCGGGGAACCTGTATAATCATTGATGCCTGTCATTCCTTGCATTTGAGTGTGAGCTTGATTTTGGTTTTGGCCAAAATTGTGGGCGTTCTGGTTAGAGAAGTCAGATTGATTTATGCTATATTGGGATAATGCTGCAAGATTGACGGCAGCTGATTGTGTGGATTGAAGTCCTAACTGTAAATTGGTAGGAGTAGTAGGGGGTGGGGTATGAATGGACAAGGATGGGAAATTGTCGGCGATAGAACTTGAGGGAGTGAATGCATTAGCCGGTGAATTCAAAGATGAAGAAGAATTGCTGTTGTTCTGAAGATTAGAGAGTGACAGAGATAACTGCAACGAAGTATCTGGCAGCGGGGCGCTCTGAGGACCGCGCATGACTGGAAGATCATTGATACGAAGGTTAGGGCGGGAACGACGACGGAATTGAGAATTAGTCGGTGAGGTGGTGGCAGGGCGGTTTGTGCCCGGAATAGCTGACTTGTATCGTTCGATAACTGGAGATGAGGCTAGTGATGAGGGGCCAGTGGGCTTGGGGGAATCTAATAAAGATTACGCAAGGTGAGTTTGTTTCAGAGGCTCCATGATGGCTTACGGAAGGAAAAAAATATGTACCCAAAATATCTCCGTTGTATATGCGTTGCACGATTGGGCTTTCAATCGAGTTCGAACTGTCGTCACCAGTGGATCCGTCATGCTCGCTGAGATTCATATCATTATCATTTCCATTATTATCACGATCGGAGCCTGATGCTGTAGAGTGGGAATCATCTTTATCATCCCTGCTAAACTCATCTGCTTCAATCTGCAAATCGCTTTCATCAAAGACAATAGCCTCCAAGCCGAGTTGCTGTCGCAGTTGATTTACTTGGTCTCGTAAACTCTTTGTACTTTCGACAAGTTGGCTTAATTTTTGTTGCTTCTTCTGAATTTCATTCTTAGAGTTGGATACATAATCGATGGTCTTGTCAATTATGACAACCCGTGATAATTTTGTGGTGTCTTTGATGTTGGGTAGTGAGCGAGCCAATTCGTCAAATTTGTTTGATAGGCATTCACGCCTACAATTCGAACTTGTTAATTTTCATCTATTGTAAGGAAGCCTGAATAGAGTACATACCTTTGCCTTTCCATTGCGTTGTGCAGCAATCTTTTTTCTTCCATTGAAGTGCTTCGCTTTTTACCAGGCAATATACCAAAAGGGAATTGTCCCAGTAACTGCGCAGTGTTCGGGTCCATAAAATGGGACTGGCCGAGAGGATTGAGCTGCGGTGACTGATAATGTAATCCGTTCATCATTTTTCGAAATATGACTTGTGAAGATGTTGGAAAACGAGACTTAAATATAGTTCTGAGGAATACAGGACAGAAAAAATTATTTTCCGACGACAGATCTAACGTGGAAGGACGAGATGGGGGAATTTGCTGATCGACTTCAAATATATATCGAAATGGATTCCGACAAACCAAAAGTAATGGAGGCTTTCGCAAATTGACCTATCCGGCAGGGCTTGCTCGACAAAGAGTGCGACCGAGTTTATTATGTCCAAGTAATGAGCCCACAATGCCTAGGTTACGTGTCTCCGGCTTGGCCCATTTTCCGCTACTCTGAAAAGTTAATGTTCCAGCATTACCAAGCCCGGTCGGCATGGTTACATAAAAGTGTATACAATAATCACAGTCCTCATGAATCCACCAATATTTCATGGCTCAGGGAAAGCTTAACCGGTGATTATAGTATTTCGCTCTGTATTATATAATGCCTCAATGAAATTGTGCAATTCGATGCGTATTTATTTTTGAAACAATGCTGTGCTCCCTGGCACAAATTCCAGTTCTAATGACTTGTTCGGCTTGTCGAGCTATTTTTGTAAATCCATTACTAAGGTGTCATGA